GAAAATTTTAAAGGGAGCTTAAAATTAGGCTGTATGTACTACACAATACAAAAGCAAGTAATACATGGAAAAGAATTCATTATGACCAAATAAATAAATAAAAAATAATTGTATTATTCTTTGCTAAAAAATCATTAGTAAAATATATGTGTAATTTATAGATATATTAAAATAATTTAATGGTGAATACATAAGCTATGTCAAAGACATTCAATTTAAAATTTGTGTATTTTGAAATGTACTACACAATACAAAAGCAAGTAATACATGGAAAATAATTCATTATGACCAAATACACAAATAATGTAGTAATATACAAATACACAAATAACATAGTGTTATATTCTCTCAGCAAGTGACCTACAGTCTATGAACCATGGTCAAAACTAAAGAAACTGATAATATTACATTAATAAATCACATGAATACATAAATGTATTTATTGTTATAAATAAATAAACACAAATATATTATAAATACTTTTACCACATTACCAAAAGAATGTAATGATAGGGTCCTGAATAGGATCTGCCATAGCTCTGAATAATTGTCATTATATTTTAAATGCATTTGAAAAGAAGTAGTTCGAGTTATCCTAATTGGCATCTGTCAGTTAAAGCTTATTTCACAACTGTCAATAATCATCATTTTACTAATATGATTAGATATGAAACAACACTATCCAAATTTTTCATTGAAACAAACATTGTTCTGATGTTTGTCAACTTGGCCAGAAATTTGTCCTCAGTGTTGACATCATAATCACTATCACAATCAGCAAGGTGATGGGACAGCATCTGGAGTGGCGTTTCTCTCATATTCCCTACAGTTATTCATTTACATTTACCCCATAGAGATTTTATTGTTTTGAGTGTTGACACCATCGTAGGATCCACAAAGTTGGTCTGATAATTTACCATCAGGCACATATATCACGTGACTCATACTCATAAACAAAGGCAAATGCAGGCTAGGCCACCTTGTTGCTAGAATACTGAAAATGTTTTATACAAAAACAGTATAAGAAAACATTTAATTTAATGGTGGCTTATAGACAACAGTGACGTCTGTATCTCCCGTAGAAAATTGTTAGGCCTTTTTCTTAAAAAAGCGAGAATCAATATTTAGGAAGTATTAATCTTTTATAGATTATATTATATCCAAATGTACTAACCTCTTTGATTTTTTTAAACTTAATCTTTAATGCACAGATCCTTCAAATCCTGTTTAAATTATAAATCTCTCTCTCTCTCATACACACACACACACACACACACACACACAAAAAAGATTGTACATAAAAAGTCATCAAAATTAAAATCTATTTTTAGTGTAAAAGAATATTTCTGATGCACAGCATTTATCGCTTAAAGGACAAAATTTTGTAGAGGTAAGGTAAAATAAGTCAATATAATTACAAGAAAAGCTAATTTAGTAAGAAATATAAGTTCAGTATTGGAGTGAAAATAAGGGAAAATGAAGGGACTATTTACATTATCATAAAGGCCAAAGTTAATATGATTAGTATTTCATAATTAACTTTTATGATTAGATTTTGAGGTGCGATGAGAAACAGACTTCTCATGCATTAAACATCTGTTGTACTGCTGTATATTTTTACAGAAGGAAAATTTTCGCTGAGAACTATATCTTTAATTTTTAATAGAGTTTCATTATACTTATTAACTTTTCGAAGTACATAGTGTTAGAAATTTTACGAATTTATTATTTGCTTAGTTTTCCAGTTTTAATCATTGTATTATAAAATGTGTTTAGAATTATTATTTTGTTCCAAAAAGAATTGGATAAAAACTTTCTTTTGATTGTTTATAAAATGCATATTATTATGGAATGCATGCTATTAATTGCAATTTAAGACATGTCAAAGAGTAAATCTGTAAATAATATATGTATGATTATTATATGTTTGTTCACTTTGTATTTGTTTAATTGTGTATGTTTTAATGCCTGTTTTAATTGTTAACATGCCCAATTTTTTTTTTATTTTTTTTTTTTTTTTTTGCGAATAATGTGAATTACTGATAATTAGAGAATAACTTTTATGGAGATATCATCCAGTATATATCTATCACACGTAGCTCTTGCACATCAAAGTACTTCATTAAAAAAAATCAAATATTGTTTCCTTACTTGAATATGAATAAATTATAAATAGGGATTCATATGGTGTCACATTTTTACCCCATAATTTAGTTTTTTAAATGTTTCATCTACAGTTAAATTTGAAGAAAAATATGTAAAGAAAAATGCCGAAAAAAAAATTGCTTCTAAATAATTTTCGCCGTATACAATTGTATTTGGTTTTGAGTGTTGGAAAACTTATTAATGAAATTATTATGAAAAAATATTCAATGTAAAATTGCTGGTAGTTAAGCTGATTTTTTTTAAACTGTAGATTAGAAATATCAACTACCATTTATTATTAGTGAAATAGTATATTCGTAGAAGTTAATTAAGAGTTATTTTTATTCCACGCCCAATGTATTTGTGTTTTTTATGTATGTTATTTTTTTTCCGAGGAAAAAGAGTGGCTGTCTCGGCAGCCAATGAGCGAACTGTCTTCTCCTCTTCGCTGGCAGCTCCATCTATTAGAGGATAGTGGAAACATTTCGCACGTGACTATATATATAACAAATGGCCTTTAATTAACGACTGCAAAATCACTAATCCTGTCTTAGTAATTTAGCTTTGTGACTGGCAACATTTCTAACTGTGAATTAAATAAATTTTTCTTTGTTGCTTACATTAAATTTGGAGAATTTTTCTGACATATATTCTAACTTTTTCTTCTAAAAATCTTTCATTTAATAAACAGTGCTCTAAATCCAGTTATTTTATTTATTTTTATAATTAAATCTTATTAAGTATATTAGATTTATTTAAAAATTTAACGTAGTTTGAAAAGTTAATTTACGCAGGTTTCTTACATTCGGTTTTACATTAATTTATGCTTTAGAGATGCAATGTTCCATTTCTTGAACTGTAAGGAATTTATAAAATTATTTGATATATTCATGAATATATCAAATAATTCTTCATGATAAATACACGAAGAATAGGAGTCATCAGTATTCGTAAACTTCAGAGTGTTATAACATGAAGTTTTAAAAAATCAGCGATGTATTGCTGTAGCATATTTGGGAATTGAATGTAGGTTTTCATGAAACAATTTTGTGTCTTTTGTATTGCTGCTGAATCAAAGTTGTTATTAATGTAAACACACTAGAGTTAGTGACATTAAGTAATGTCGCTACACGTGGCATCGCGGAAGTATCCATCCCAAAGTTGTTATTTTAATAAACATTTACTTTCAGAGAGCTCTTGCAAATCAGTTACTATCAGTGATTTGAATTTCCCTGAAAAGTCGACTATTTTATCAAATACTGAAAAAACGTATGCATCAGAGTTATTAAATAAATGCGATGAAAATGCAAAAAACACTAAAATATGTGGAGAAAGGAAATATTTGTCTCAGGTAACAGATGATCAGTATTCTGTGGAATATCAGAACATAAAATTCTGTCCGCAACAGCTGGAAGAGACACATGAAGGTTAGCTGTCTTTTTGATCTGTGCTCTTCCAAACAGTGTATTTTATTATTTTCATTTGATAATCTTTATTAAGCCAGCTACTCTTAACTGTTTTAGTTCCTTTAATTCTTAGCTTCATTTCGTTCATTATTTAAAGGCAGTTATAGAAAATAATAATAAAAATTCTCAAGGTATTTAATAGCACAAAACAACTTAATGTTTGGAATGTTAAATGGAAGGGTTATACTATATTATTTTTTAATACACTTCAAGTGCATATTATTTTCGGTAGATGTGGAATTTGTTTTATCTTCAAATTGGTGATTTATTCATTGAGAAATAATACAGTTCAAAGAAAATGTAGGGACACTACAAAGATGTATTAGTTTGTAGCCTTAAAAAAGTGTGTTGTTTGTTTTAAATAAATAACAAAATTTAGCTTTGTGCCCTAAAGTTAATATAATGTTTTTAAGAAGCGCTGAAGAAGCAGTTGTCATATTGAGTAATTTATTATATTGCTAATAGGGTGATTATTTCCAATAAATATGACGTGGAATATTGCATTCTTTTAGGTATGGTATTATTTGCATGATCACATTTTCTACATCTTAGGTATTTGCTTCAGACTAATATTAATAATTCTTAAAGACTTAAAGAAATGATATTCGTATATTCTACAACAAATACACAACTGAGTACTTTTCTGGTGCATTGTGAATTCTAGTTTTTTTTTTAAACACAATTTTAGTTTTGAGATACATTCCCAAAGTTTGCTTATCATGTAAGAGTCAGTTTTACTATTTCTATTTGTTTCAAATTCAGTTTATTTGACAGATAAGACTATTTTATTCATGCTCACAGGGAGTATTTAATTCCACAGTTTGTAGGGCATATTGTAAACTTTTCATGTTATGCACCAAAATGTTACTAATGTTCATAGGAATGATACCTTCTAAGTATTAAAAGCATAATTGAGTAATTTTCTTTGCCTCTTGGAATTTAAGTATTAATGATTTTATTTATGTACCTTTTTTGGATTTACAGTACACTTCCATCAAAAAAGAACAGAAAAAATTTGCAATGTAGAAAAGTTGCCATTTACTGTTTAGCAGCTGTTTCCCTGCTTTATGGTTTATTATTATTATTTATTATTATTATTATTATTATTATTATTATTTGCTTGCTTTAACAGTCTTTGTTTTATGCAATTAAAAATATCTGTCTTTTTTTAAACTTAATATCTGATTATGCAGACATATAGTATTGTTTATACTCCATACCTGAAATGATTATTATAATTTTAGCTAAATTAAATTAAAATTGAAGTACTTCTTTTGCTTATAATTTTGCACACCTTTTTCTGCTTTTATATAATATGATTTATTTGTAATAATAAATATTTTTTTAAATATTATTTGAAGATAAATTAATAATTTGTCTTTTCTTCAGATAAATCAAAGGACTTTTTTGATGACGCTACGATGGAACATGTACGACATAATTTATATCAGTTAAGCTCAATTGAAGGAATGGTCTTAGGAGGACCTCCATCTGCTATAACATTCCATAGTAGTGTGAGTATTAATTATTTCATAATTAACAAATATTCTAGTATAAAAAAATTAAATTACGATATATAAGTAGTGAATATTTCTTATGACTCAATGAATATTCTTTTTTAATAACATTTTTTAAAAGATAAATCAGGTTGTTTTATGAAAAAAAAATGTAATATTGAAACATGCATTTAGATTTAATAATGTTTTAAGTAATTATATTAGGCTATTAAAAACTTCAAAATATCATCAAGGGCTAATATTTAAGAATTTTTTATACATATGAATTAATTAGAGTAAAACATTATTTATACAAGCTATTTCAGATAACCCGCAAATGTTACAAAATTCAGAATGACTAATTTTTTTATAGACCATTTCATTAGCAATGTTATTTTTTAAAGTATGTTGAATAATATATATATATATATATATATATATATATGCATGTGTGTATGTAAGATTAAAAAAATATGTAAATCAAAATTATTCTGAAGAAAAACTAGTGGTAACCTATTAATTCCCTCTCTGTGCTCTAAAAATCATAACAACGTTTCTGAATTGTGTCATTTCTAAATCAATCTATCTTGCATGGCTTGTGTAATGCTGATGATGTAACTAATTCAGAACCTAAACTCACAATTTTGAGAATTGAAACCTTTTCTAACGTAAACCAAAACCTTCTCTTGGTGAGGCCTGCATCCACTTTTAGCTTCAGCTGTCCTGCAGTCAAGATAATACTTCGTTCCGTTTGTTTTGTCATGCTAATAACTATGCCATCATCTAAAATGTGATACTCTACATAAAATGTAGGGTGCATATTGCACCCATGATCGTGTCTGATGAAGAATAAGTTTTTGATAATTAGGTCATATCCACCAATAAATGTTATATTCAATTCAGCCACGTCTGTTTATATGTCTTTCCTTTGAGTGCCATCTTTCTAATTATGCAGTAATGTCTCTCCAGGATATAATATAGAGAACCATCATCAATCTGTTCCAGCTTACTTCGAGTCATGTTATTACACATACAAAATTTAGATGTTGACATGTAGATTCATAGAGATAATAAAGGAAGTGGAACTTTTCTTTCATTGTTGACATATGTCACAAATAATGGGGTCCAAATAGCAGGCCTCTTCCTAATGAACTACATAGTACCTTTTATAGTTTTCAAATATATTTGAAGACAGATGGAACAATAGGCATTAGCAAGTTGGCAGCAGTGAGGCAAGAGAGAGAATGTGGCATGTCCAGAAATCTACATTCATTTCAGAAGGATTTAATTTCAATTTATTTTCATTGGTTTGAATACATTTTATTTCTAAACAAAACAGTTCTTGAGAACTGCATTCTTAACTTGCATTACACAATGTTAAAGGTGCAATCTGGACCAGGTTCTTAATAGCATTAGTTTGTTTTTATATCATTATGACAGTATATTTGATCAAATAGAAGTGAGCTGCAACATCAGCCCTGGAAAGCACTAAAGAGCCAGAATGCTGCTTTGTGTTTCATGTCATCAGCTTTTGTAAACTCATCACACACTCATATTTTTGATATCTCATTAAATTGTCACTCCTGATAAGCAGGAAGAAATTCACAGTTTGTTTTAAAAATTCATGGTACGCAGCACAATATCAGAAAGAACGCAGATTCTAGTGTATAGGAAATCTTGTCTATTCCCAAAACCAGTCACAGAATAAATGCTAAATCACAATTCAGATTATTGCTAAATTTTACGGTACTGTAAGCTCCGAGCTAAATTTATGCTGTGTAGCATGGATTTCTGAAAGAATTGGGCAGTTATAGAGCTTTGAAAATGTTTTTTCATCTTTCAGATTTTCTGCAAGGCCCACCAGGACCTTATTTGACAATATTTCACATTCTGCTTGAGCTATTTTTCCAATTTAAATGTTGCTGTCCTCAAAATTGAATGATTTATAATTCTTTACAAGCAACAGATACTTAAATGAAAACATGGTCACATATTCAATTAAACACAAAATGAAAGTTAGATTTATCACTTTATAAGCAACAAATAAGAATTAAAAAAAAATAAATAAAACACTACATAATATTATAACTGCACAATAAAAGGGTTTAAATATTTACAGATATTTAAAACAATATATGTTTAAATTCCAAAATTTACCATCTCTGCTTTTTCACTGTTTTTAAATTTCAAAATTGCAGTTAAAATATGTCTAAAATTGAAGTTATTCTTAAAACATTTCATAAATGACATTGGAAAACAATATAATAAAATTGTTTTCTCTGTAGATATAATATTCTAGTAGTTGCAACTTATTAAAAATTTATATCCTATAAATGAATAATCATAAATTCCACTTTCATAAGTTGTTCCATTAGCATGATATCAATATATGTGGTCCACCAGTCCAATTTCTTCATACAACTTCAAATTTTTTTCTTGGGGATAACGTAAAATTTTTCTTGTAATTTATCATAAACTGTGATGCTTTTTTGCTGTTTTCTTTTTGCCTTAGCACCTCCAATAATTGTTCTTCGATGTGTTATTTTTACTCAGATTTAATACAGCAACTGAAATTAAATCATATTATGAAAAAATGAAGTAATGTAAAAAGTAAAATTTGATTTCAGTCAATGAAGTAAACTTATTTTATTAATTTAATACAAGGTTTAAAATAAAATTAATGTTTTATTTGTTTATTTTAATCAACAGAAATTCACAGTTAGTAGACCTCTGTATCTGAGAAGTATGGCAGTGAAAAATCTTTTATTCTGATTATATTATTTGAATTAATATTTCCAGAATTTTCAGTGCCATGTTTTGAGAGAGCAAATTTATTAGTTTCAACAGTTTTCATTCTTCTTCTTTATTATTATTTAACCTTCATAGTTAAAACTTTTTCTTTTTCCTTTCCTTTAATTTGTTTATATTACTGTATTTTTTGGAATGAGGATTTTATACTAGTTATCACTCTCTTCCTTTTTTTTAAATTTTTACTATTAATTGGAAATACTAATATTTGCAATTATAAAGAATGCTTCTGAACACATGAAAAACCAAAATTTTTAATCTCATTTTCTTTCAAGTCTTCTTCTTTTACGGTGCTTCTTGGTCATTTTTTGTACTTTTTTTTTTTTTCTTCTTGGTCTTTTTTTTTTTTTTTTTTTTTTCTATCTTACTATTGACATTTAGGGTAATAGGTTCAAACTTAGTACTCTCCCATTAATAGAATAGCATGCAATTTAGGAGCCATGGCACATTTAGGCTTATTTCTTTCTCCATGCCTTTGGCTCGATACTAGATAAATGGAATTATTGGGAACAGCAGCTAGTAAAATTCTGTAATTCCATGGTAAAATTCAAGGAAAACCCATTGTGTGCGTGGGGGGGAGATGGACTACATTATTTTTTCTTTTTGCAAATAAGTTTTTGTTGATTTTGTATAATTTTGGTACCTCTAGGCTTTAGAGTACATTTTAATTTCATTAGCAGGCTATTCGAACACAATCAAGCTTTGTGAAGAAATTTTCTTTCCTAAAAACAAAAACAGCCGCCTTTTTCATCTCTTAACAAATCCCAAGTCATATTGTATCCATTGCAATGAAGGAGAAAAACTGATAAGATGAAAACATGGTTGTGCAAGGAATGGTTATAATCTGGAAAGAATCAAAACCAATCTCTTATGGAGTCTGGCATTAAAGAAATATGCTAAAATAAAACACCACTAAGAAAACAGAAAAGTACCTCAAGCTTGGGTGTAAAATTTTTAATTTTATATCGTAATATCTTCAATTTTTCAACAGAAAAAGTTTGAAGCATATGATTATTTATCAAAATTGTGTTTAAAATGCCTTTATTATATGTAATGTATGCAGTAGAAAATTATATATGTGAGCTAAAATGGGCTGAGGCATTTCAGCTAATATGTAACACTATTAAAATGGAAGTTTGCTGAAACAGATTTATAATATAAATAATGTGGTGGTCTCTCCATTTCTAATTTCTATTTTGGTCTCTCGTTATAGCATTGCATCTACACATGTCCTGATTTGTTTTAAGGTTTAATTTATTTTTATAAAATATGTAAGCCACTCATGTTTGGGTACAAAATTTTTGGTATTTTATGTTAACTCTGATTGCATTTTGCATAAAGTAAACTTCCATGAAGTCTATCATAAGAAAAGTTATTTGAATTGATGTTCAATGGATGAAAATCGGAATGGAAGGATTTATACAGATTACATAAATTTATATTCATAAATATTTTAGTATTAAGAAGGGGGGACAACCTCATAATATCTCATGACTATAAATTTCAATTTCAGAAATTATCTCTTGGAATACTGTCAACTTCAGGAGTAATCTGACTGGTTTCATTATATAATGACTTAAATTGTTTTTAGTTTTACTGTTAATCTTTTAAATTTGTAATCCATTTGTTAAATATTTGTATTCAAAAATCATTTCCTTTGCACAGTTTAAGTCATATTCCTCCCCCCCCCCCACACACCCTTTTTTTCAGTGTACTAAATCAAGTTTCCCTTCCCTCGAATGTGGAATAAGTATTTACTTCTATTCTTTAGAAACAATTGTAAAACTTTGGAAATTGGAAGTATTATTTTTTGGATTTAATGCATATTAGTCTTTGCCTGTTTGGTTAAACAGATTTTAAATATGTTAAATAATCATCATAGAGTCCTATTTTTAAATCTTCTTTTTTATCTGATATTTCATAGGAATTTTTATCGCTTTATATGTATTAGACCACAAATGAGTTTTGTAAAAATTTCATATAAAATCTTCACTTTGAGCAGGGAGATACTGTGAATTAAGCCAATAGAATTAATGTGGCATTTTTGGATAAAATTCTTGAAGTTCCGTAAGATCTTCCAATAATGCTTCCTAATATCTATTTACTAGTTGTAGCTTATTGCTTCTGTTTATATTCTTTGTGCAAGTGAGGGAAGAAAGCAGTAAGAAATTGCACTTCATTCAGAAAATTTCAAGATTCTTTCACTGCTATATTTAGTAGATGTCTCTCTCTCTCTGTCTCTTTTTTTTTTTTTTTTTTAATCATTAGTGAATACGTTTTAAAAGCATGTTTTGCAAATTCAGAAAATGTTTAATTTTAAGCATTTTCTAATGACATGTATTTAATATAATGTTTAATTATTTCTCTTAGTGTTGTAAGATAGTTGTGTAGTTGTTCTTCTACTGAATCAGTTTGTAACTTTTCTTCATGTTAGTATTTGGTTGCTAGCTTTGTCAAGTTCTTTGTCAAGTATTTTGAGCATTACTAATGTCTTTCATGTTTAGGATCTGAGCTGTGTTCTTTCATGAGCCAGCAAGAAATGACAGAAGTATCTTCATAAGTTTATGTAAATTCTCCTTCCTCTAGCAGCAAATTAAAATTTGTTTTACAGGTAAAAGCTTGACATTTGTATCATTTGGCAAATGAAATAGTGTATTACTTTTAGATTTTGCTTGAAAGGCAAGTGAAACAATTTTGTTGATTATCTTAATTATTTATGAGTGTGTACATCATTGCACTGATTTATGATCCATGTAAAATGCCTACTAATTTTTGGAGGAGGAAAAAATTACTAGTAATGTTGCTGTAAGTTTTTTTTTATTACAGTTCAATGTTTTGAATTTTATATTTCATTTTCAGCATTGTATCTATGTAGAGTAACACATATATTTGCAATTAATTAAAAAATTAAATTTAAATGGCTATTCCTAAAAGCATGTTAATTTGTTTAACTTTTAGGTTATTGCAAGAAGAATTGATGAATCAGGAAAAGTAAATGTTCTTCTTCACTGGGAACCTGAAAACTTGTAAGTTGCATGTTCTATTTGATCTCTATTTTGAACTAAAATATTAGATTACAAAGCATGCATTCTAATGCATAACCCCAACCGCTTGCATGGGCAGCAGCTGAAAGTAGCATGAAAAAGGAAAAAAATACATACAATGATTTTAATGAGTCCAGCTAGTAGAATTTTCATGGGTCCACTTAATAACCAATAATAATAAAAAATAAAAAACTACATTTAATGCTTTTAAATTGTTTGATTTGTTAACCCCTTCGTGATGGCATGTTGCTGAACTGAAAACCCCAAATGTCACTAGCTGCTGGGTGATGCACAGGTGCATCACCGCTTGCATTGATCATCCAGACAGGTGTATAATATATACATTTTCAAACGTATGCATTATTTTAGAATTCTTTTAAATCACTAGATGTCGTTTTATGTCCACTGCAGGTAGCTTACTTGAACATTGGTGACCTTATGTTCATGAAGTACTTTCTGATTTCGGTGATTTGTTTAGATGTACGAGCAGAAGATACAAAGTAAACAAAACCCAGCTGATGCACAGTTGAGGCTTCATATGATGTAACTATTGGACTGTTTCCAATGCTTCAAATTTGTTTTTTGTTTTTACATGTGGGAAAATTGTTTGTGAAGCTGTGTTTTTAGGAATTCCCATTTCAGTTCAGTTTGCATCTTCTTGAGACAGCAGACCTTTGAGAGAATTCAACTAATAGTATGATGTCTAAGTGAAAGAAGTTTTTAAGGAGAGTATATTTGAATTGTAAACAGGCCCATGAGTGACTATTTTGACACCAAAGCCCCTAGATTTAAATGAGGATAGTAATTTGGATATCTAAATTTTGTCAGAGACTGAAATGGAAACTTATTTTGATTTCACCTGACAGTCCAGCACAATAGTGGATACTGCATCATAAACTCGATCTTTGAAGCCTTGTGCACGTCTGGGAATTGCAGAAATAAATTTAATTCAAAATTATGTGAATGAAATTCATTTTTTCACCATTTTTTTTGGATGATGATCTAATGAACATAATACTTGAAGAAACTAATAATTTATATGAACAGAAGATAAGTGAAAATCCATCTTCATACAAAATCAACATATTTATATATATAATAACATTCATACAAAACAAATAGATGAATAATTAAAAAAAAAGCCTGACCTGTATTTCACAGCTAATGAAATGCTAGCGACTATCACACACTGTCTCCTTTCTGAATGATTTATCCTATAATATTTAATCATATATTTTCTTATGTTTTACACATTTTATATGTAAGTTTAGCTCAACATTTCATCAAGATGAGTCAAATATTTTATTTTGCATTTAGATTTTAATTTAAACTTTTGCAGAATTTCAAAGTTTACAAAACTTCTTAAATGATAAAAATTTTTCTATTATAAATATAGTAATAAAGTATAGTTTAACAGGATTATAAAGGGCCCATATTTCAAAATAGCTTAGGGCCTCATCAAGTCTAAATCCGGCCCTGATAACTGATAAGTATAGAACAATAAAGAGAAAAGAAAAAATTTTAAACTTAATATCTAATTCTTCTTTTAGGGATCTATGTCAAACATGTTATTTGTGTAACTACTATTTGTAAATTAATAATACAAATAAGCAACATTAAATTATTTATATGGGGATATGATGTAAGTAACTAGTGGTTTCTAACAATTTAGAGAAATCATAATTATGCAGATTTGTTCCAGAAAGTTTCCACACTTTGTTTTATTCTAGGAAAACATTTAGCTGGAAGGTTTCTGTATTTAGAATAGTAAGCCATGTACAATTAGATTTTTGTCAATGTCGGGCACCTGAAATTAATTATAGGATCAATTCTTTGATAATTCTGTAAAATGATTTGTTGCTGTGGTTTTGATATTCTTAAGGTATCAACTTTTATTTAAATAAATTTTTATCAGAACTGATTGGCGACAAATCAGGAATATATGCAGGATATTCTAAACTTATTTTATTCCTCAAAATGAATGTTTCTATGGTGATATCGATCTGTGTCCAAAATTATTCTAAAATGTTCTTTGTTGTTGTCAGTATTCCTCCCCAGGGCTGAAGATGCTGATGTCTCTTCAGTAGTTTTGTATGTAGTTCATCCAAAATTACTTTATCTCCCATTATTATGTTGTTTAAGATATTCTGCCCAAATCAGTAACAGCAGTGAGGTCTTTTGACACTGTCATTCTCATTTCTTTTTGTTTAAGGGGCAGGTTTTTTACAAACATCTTTTGACAAATGAATGAGAACATTGTTGATGTGACAATTTCCATCAGATGTTTCAACATTTGTCAGTGCTTTTATGTATATATAACTAACTGGCAGCAAATTACAAGTATACACAATGTTTTGGTATTTTTACATTTTGCTGGCGCAGGCGATCAAGTCACCAGTAATGGTACAACTGATGCCAAAAAGAATATCCTCACTGGTAACCTTTTATGCCTCATTTTCAAAACAAGTCACAGCCATTTCTTATCAGATTGATTGTTTCTTTCAATACTAGATAGTTCAGTTTTATGCCCTAAGGCCATTCAGGGTAATTAAATCAATTAGGATGCAATCACACTGCTCACCTGCAGGCAAAAATATAGAAAAGGCAAAGTTGAGGGTTAAATTCATCCATTCTAATAAGAAAGCACTAACGATGTAAAGCACTGAGGTTTCGCATAATTTCTGAGTAAGCTATTCATATGAATTGAAATAATTCTTGCATTTAAACTTGTATTCCAAATTAAGATTTAACTTGAAATGAATGTAGATAATTACTGAGAGAATTAGATTTTTGTAGCGTAATTTATGTGAGATGAGATCACTTGGGGTCACGTGATATGAACCACTGAATCAGGATGTTGAACCATGAAAGCGTAGTAAATTCTTAAATTAATGTCTTTTTACAAATTTATTGCCTTTATTTATTAGCTCTTTACAAAATTTTAAATATTAAAATGTTTATGCCTTCAAAATACAAAAAATCGAAGAACTAACATTTGTTATGTGTATCATCTATCAGAATGAAAGTCCTCCAGTGTGAAATCCTAAGCCAGTAACACTATAGCAATTATCCTTGTAAGATTTCTTAAGTATTGTCAACCCACAATTGGAAAGTGCAGTCTCACAGACATCTAAGTTTGGTTTTCCCATCACCCCTATTCTATTGAATGGATTCATTCTGTCAAGAACTCTTGAAATTTCTCCTTGTTGGTCCAGAGGGGAGAGAACTTTGTGAGTGGCCATGGACAGTTCATCTCTGGCAGACACCAGTGAAACATTGAATTGACCTTGCTCATATCACATAATAACAGCTGGCGTTCATGCAACTTGCATGCTTGTTACTAATGTGGATTCCAATTTGTGATTATTCTTTGATATTGTCAAAGGACTTGCATCTGATATTTATTTTTTCATCTGTGTTATTTGCTAAACTAATATACTTCTAATTTAGTAATAGATGTAAAAATAGGCATATTGTCTTTATCCTTTCAATTGAGAGACATCTCTTCAGAAAGATGATTCAACAATCTCTACTAGGGTAAAACGTAGTAGCATCTACTAGGGTTAGTAGCTTCCCCTTTTGTGACCTTTACTAAACAGGGCAGCTTTCTTGAAATTTTGGCATCTGCTTTTTTTGTTTTAGCCCAAATGGCATTAGTCCAGAAGGACTATTATTTTCCTTTAGGCATTTTGTGTCAAAAACATTAAATGTCAGTTTCACTTTTCAAATTGTTACCACCAAATTTTATCACCCTGTTTTATATTTAAAGAAATTAAATACTGAAGAATCTGCATAAATGTATGTATGTTTCTTGCATTGTGATAAAACAATGGTACCTCAAAGAGTCATCAAATTTTGAATAATGTAATCCTCCACCGAATATGGGCATCAGGAAACCCTGGAATTTCCTTTATTTTATACCCAAATTTGGAATTTGTTTTGTTATTTTATACCTATATTTTGAATTGGTTTATTATTTGCAATTTGTTTTATTATATCAATTTCATATTTTATAGAAACAAATTTTTGATTAACAAACTGAATGATTTCAAAGAGAGCAATGGCAAAACTGTACAGGAAAAAAACATTTTTATCTCCAGTGCACTAGACTGTGTATTGGAAATTCTAAAGTTATGCTCATTTTAAAATTATTTTGGCATATTGCTGTTGAATTGAAATTTATGGTTTAAGTATGAAGAACATGATATTTAATAAATAAAAGTAACATAAAAATGTTTAAACAAATGCCCCTGTAGGTGTAATGTAAAATCTGAAGGCTTTCAGTTTTTTTTTTTTTTTTTTTTTAAAAATTCTTCTAGCCATTTGTTTCCATCCGGTCTAGTTGATTGCACCTCCCTCTTAATGTTACAATTTTGTGCAAACCTTTGAATAGCACTGCTGAAACTTGGTCCTCGAATTGTCATGTTACCTTCAGATCCACGTTACGAGTCAGAACTTCAAAGATTTAAGTTATGTAGGAAGTGATTTCAGAGATGAAGCTTCTCAGAGGAATTTTTTTAACAAAATTTCACATTTGACTGAATTGATTCTGAATTCTTAGAATATGAAAAATGGATGGCAACCAGAATATGAACCAATATGTTGTGCCAGAAAAAAGGTTGTGTATTTCCAAAACTTCAGATAATAGAGATAAAAACACATGCACCATTCAGTGCATATTCACGAGTGGAAATGTAAGACAGATAGGTATAAAATAGCAAGCAATAAGATTAAACACATAAAATTCTTTTATGAAAAACCAGGATATGAAAACCATGAAATACAGATAGAAAAATCTATAGTTAAAAGATAAATTTTGATGGTATGAATAAAACTAGATATGGGTTAGATTTCTGAAACCCATATTGGATTCAGAGTATTCAAATAACATGATAAAACTTAGTAGCTTTCAAAAAATTAAAAATGTTAAAATGTGGTTCTTTACCAACTAAATCTTTCGCTGAAATTTCACAAGAATTAAAATAAAAATTTTAAAAGTGATTAAAATTTGGACAATCAATTAAAATGTGTTTAATGGTTAAGATAGTGCTGCATTCGACACATACTGGTTCAGCTTCATGCATCAGTAGGTATCTGTGTGTTAGCCTTGTGTGACCGATTCTCAGTCGCATCAAAAGGACCTGCTCCTTTCGATTTAGAGGTTCCCTCCCCCCTATTTTTATATTTGGTAATTTATAGTTTAGCTGCACATCCCAAAGCTTTTTCCATTTCATCAAATTTTTCCTCCCAATCAGAATAGATATCTGATATCTCAATAAGGAACGGCCTGGCTCAATGTCCAACAGGCACATTTTGCAGCGATATCTGTCAGTTCGTTTCCTTTTATACTAACATGGCTTGGTATCCAGCAATAAAGGATCCGGTAACCTTTGGCCTTGAAGCTAATATTGAGCTTCAGCACTTCTACGATTAACGGATTTGTGTTATTCTCATACGATTCGAGAGCTTTTAGCACACTAACTGAGTCTGTGTAAATAATGAAATTTTTCCTATGTCTACTTATGAAAGATAGAGCTAATATCAAAGCAACGATCTCTGCAGTAAAGATGGCGCAAGTGAGATGAAGTTTTCTTCCCTCAATAGTATTCTCACACTTGAAGGCAGAGTCGACGTGATCCTGGGACTTTGATCCAACTGTATACACTGTAACATAGTCATTGTAAGCCTGTCTATGTTCATAGAAAATCTGCTTGTACACGACATCACTGGTACTATCTTTAGCTAAGCTGGAAAATATGTTGAAAAGCTCAATGTGAGCATCTTTCCAAGAGGTATTTCCAAATACTTTACTGCTTGAACTTTCACCTCTTCCAAGTCATGCTCTTGCACCATTGTTGAACGCGTAATCCAAAAGCAGGAATACAAGAAGGACTCGCTTGGTAGTCTGACTTCCAGGATTGGTTTCATATGGACAATCAGGAGAAAAAGCAAATCTGAAAACTGTTTGGGAACTGGTCTTTATAGATGAAATATTGCCCAGTATTGTAAAATGGATAAATGTAAAAATCTAAAAAATAAGTAAATTCTCGAAATGATCAGAGGAATCAATCTAAGAATAAATCAAAATTACGAATGACGATGACATGAACATTAGGCAGCGAATGAAGCATGCCATTTATGTCCTCACACGCACACACAAAGTGGTGGAGAAGGTGCATATTTATCCATGTATTGTAGGAGACCTCTGTGTTAACCCTCTGACTGCTAAATTTGTGGGCCGAAATCGCTTCCAAAATTGTGGGTTCCCCCCGCCCCCATATTTTAATTTTATATATATTGGAGAATTGAAAAATGTAGATAATATTTTTTATATAGATTTTTATCATGAGAAACTAAGTTGCCAGGAAATTTCAGATGTTATCACCAAAAAAAAAAAAAATCTTTTTTTAAAAATAAATTTCAATCGAACTTCAGTTAATTTTTATTTATTGCATAATATAAAAAATACCTTAGAAATGCAGTTTAGTATGATAAGAGTTCAAAACAGGGTTCAAGGCAAAGTCCAACTTCACAGTCTTTGCACCAGATTCAATAAATCTAATTGTTAATCTAATCAAGATAATCACTGAACGTTTTCTAGCAGCCATTTCTCTAAGAAAGAAGTGGCAAAAAGTGAATTTTGAGCGCTAATACCACGTGCCTTCAAATGCCGCAATTTTGTGGACTACTAATGATATCTGTTGGCCAAAACGTAAACTAAATGCCTAATACGGTATATAATTTATTTCAATGGTTAAATGGGGAAAAAACAGGATGCGCTCCTCAAGAAAAGGAAAAAAAAGAGAAGAAAAAAACATATGCTCAGGAAATCGCAGGATGAGCAAATTTGAGTTCCCGTGGAAATCGCGGGATGATCAGCCAGAGGGTTAAGGATGCACTCGTGAATTGTCTTATGTGCACAAAAATTAGAACTGTGAAATAGCAACACGCAAAAACAATTCAAATTTACTCTGTCTCCTTCTTCTTCTCTCTCTTTTTTTTTTCTTAGCATAAGGGTTAATTTGTAACATCTAATTATTTTCATCGTTAAGAGAAAAATATGGTTAGAAAAAGTAACTAATTTTATACCGTTTTTTTTCTTTCCAAGAATAATATTCAATGTGTGCTGTTCTGATAAAAATTGTATGTTATAAAATAAATGTTTTTTCTTGTGATGACATATTTAATAAAATTTTAAAGTTATATGTATAAAACTTTAAAATTTATATACATATATAGATGTAAAATATAAAAAAATACGATGGCTTTGCTTTTCACGAACACGCAACTTTTAATTAACTTTCTGCAATTCAGGATCTTCCTCCTAGACCAATACCTTCTAGAATTTGCTAGCCTATTATGTAACTGCTACTATAAATAATGAATGCGCGCCATCTTGCGTCAGAAGCTTTCCTCTCTATCTGTGCCTTTAGGGTCTATGGCTTGCTCTCTTTGTTAGAATAAGTTATGACGCTTTAAAGTTTAAATACTGTTATTTAGTAACGAATAAATGATCTACAGTGATAATTGAATAAAAGCTATGGAATAAAGATGTACCATTAAAAACTAAATCAACTTGCCTCTTCATTTGGATTAGCCTTACCACTCTGCAAAAACCATGCCTGAACTTTGATGCCAAAATATCACATATGTATAAAGAAAACTCTCTAAAGCAGGGGTTCCCAGCAGTTTTGTCCCTAAGAGCTCCTAAGACTTTTCTAGAATATCTTTTGTCCTAAGACTATTCTAGAATATTTGTTGGGTGGCAGGCACCACTTACTTTGTCAATGTGAAGTTATAGTTGGATAGAGTTAATAATACATGCACATTAAAAAAAAGAGAGAGAGATCGGTCGCATTTCACTTTGTGCTGGTATCTGGTAATTTCTAGTACATTAAAAATCAGAAAACATTCACATAGAATTTTATTGAAAACTAAAACATTTTTATCGTGATCACACAGTGGCAGGCACACGCTAAACGATCGGCAGGCTCGGTGGTGCCCACTGTGGTGGGGAACCTGTGCTCTAAAAAATATATAAGCAAAATTTTGTGCTGGTATTTTTATTTGAATTTAAATTGAATTAGGTCTAATAGACTGTACTTCTTCAGTTACATCTGAATATATAGCCTTCCTAGTTAAGTCTTCTCCTTAGCTCATCACAGATTTCTGTGATGAGAAATTCTGAATGAAAACACGAAAGCTGATGTTCACATTTTGTTGAATTGCTGAATGAGAGTTATTTTTAATTTCAGTAACTCTGTTTGAGTATAATGTAAATAACACTCTGCTGCTGTAAGAACAGAAATAACTCATTCATCAGTATTTCCAATAAGATGCATACATGTGGAGCTCTTTTTTTTTTTTTTTTTGTTTTTGTTTGTTTGTTTGTTTGTTTGTCAAGTTGTAGAAGTGCTTTTACTTATCACATTTGATTGCAGGAACATGATCTAGATAGCATTCATTGTGATTCAAGTAGTATTCTGCATAGTTATATTTCTATATCATATAGCTATGCCTTTTTACTAAGCAATTAAAATATGTTGACAATCACAACATGTGTTGTACAACATCATAGATACTTTCAAATTCTAAAAAGTGTTATTTAAAGTAAAATTGATTAATTTTATTTAGGATAAGGTTCTTCATATTTTATGAATTCACTTAATTTTGCTTTTAGCTATGTGCTCACACTTTATCCATCTTTTAATTCTTTAGATCTTTTATTGTTATTTCTGATATTGATAACACTGATTTCTTTATAAAAATATTTTTTTTTTTATTATTATTTAGTTTTCCATTTAAATTATACAGTGTTAGCTTTTTTTTTAAATATTATAATATATTTTTTCTTGTAAATATTTTTAATTTTTGAAAATACTTTCTTCCAGAGTGCCAGATTCATGGGTTGCCGAAGGGGACATCATTTCCAACCTAGAAAAAACCATTCCAGTTTCCAAACTACCTCGAGAAGCATTACAGCTCCCATTTTTGGATGCACTTCAGACAGCGGGTATCCTCTCCCGGCCTGGAAAGCGCAAACGAAAATGAAAATCTACACATTTGTTGTTTAAGTTCCAGTCCTTTATGAAAAATTTACTGTAGCCTGAAATCCACCGCTCAAGTGCCACTGAAACAATTTGTGGAACTTTTTCATTTGAACATTATCCTCATTATTTGTTTGTCCCCTGGTTTCTGCATACCTATTTAAGTCAATCATATTTCTGCAAAACTGTAAGCAGTTGTGTAATTTATTTTCGTAGGCCTTCATCAATTATTTACTTGGTCATTGGAAATCAAAATTTTGTTTTCCATGCTTTGAAATCCTCATTATCACATGGCATTAATGTTGAGCATTCAAGGGAACAGGATAAGACTATGAAAATTATGAGAGAATATGTTTGTGTTATGTAGGAACTAGTGAATTCAGAGTTGACGAAGCTGAGTGTTTATCAAGGAAACAAGGTGACTCACAGAAGTGTAAGGTCTGATGAGTGCCTTTATTACGCAAAACCCTTCATTCCATCTGGATCCTTTTGTGATTGATCTGACTTACTTGCGCAGCTTAAGTTTAATAAAGCAATTAAAAAATTTTTTTTTAATATCTTTGTAATATTATATTACATAGTTAAGATAATGTGTAAAATTACATAAATTTTATTAGAGCCATTGCTGTAGCATCAAATTATTCAGAGTTGGCAAGCCTTTTAATGTTAATTTTGTGCAAGTTTTCAAAACTGTCTTTCTCTAATCTGTTCTTCATAGAAACACACTCTTAGAATTTCTGTTTTAAGAATTATAAAATACATTATCAAAAGTTTTTAAATAGTTTTATAAACTTTTGATAATGTGATTGCCTAATACTTTTATAATATATTTTCCAATCGGTTGATATATTAAAAAAGATATTTCTTAGGAATGCCAGAAGCTAATATATTTTCTTTAATAATTAAGGATATGAAAGAAGTTTTTTATTTTTGAAACTTAGAAAAGATTTAAAAAAAAGTTAGTGATTTTATGGCAAGAGCAATTTTCATAAAACATCATTTCTGTTATTGTAAGATTTGTTATTGTAAGATTTGTAAGATTTGTTATGGGCACTTTTTAGTAATATTTTATGTTTATTAAGGCATTTTATTACCATTAATCTGTTTTGAGAATTAATGTTTTGAAATAAATCAGATGTATCATTAATATCTCATTGAAAGAAATATGAATAACATATGAAAATGTTAATTGTAATATTTTTATATTTAATATCTTAAATGCTGTTAACATTTTTGATTTCGCCCTCCTTTTTTTCAAATCAGGTTTGCCATCTGTATGTATTTTTTAAAAACTTTTTTAGTCACTAACATTCATATTAAACATGCTCTTTAATTATTTAAACTCAAAAAAGAAAAAGAAATCCAGAAACTGTATTTTATTATAGATGTAGGGAATGCTGTAAACTCACAAAGAAAATGAAATTATATAACTCTTAGATAATTTTTCCAGACTAGAACATTAAAGTCATATAAAATATATTGTTAAGAAATTTGCCATATAAAATCATCATTTCTGAAAATGAACCTGGAATTTAGTGACGCATTTTTAATTGTAAGTCAGGTCCAATACAATCGGGAATTAAGTGTCAGATGGTTTCAACTTCACTGCCTGTTGTGAGAATAGTACAAGGTGAACTGTTGGAAGCTAATTCAAAAATATATATCAACTATTTTTATATACTTGCTGCGTAACAATGTTGTTGAAAGATATTGCATCAGATTGGGATTCATACAAGAGCAACTTTACAAAAATAAATAAACGATGGATATCTTGAAGGGTAATATGTTCAATATCAAAAGTATTGCAATGAATTAGAAGAAATGATTGCAAATGTAGATATGTTAACCTCAATTTATGTGAATAGTGTTTGATAACATGTTCTTGGCATATATATGTATGCATAAATGTTTTTAGAAACTGTGGGCTATCGTATGTGCTGTGTTTTACTCTCGGCCAATGTTTGTACCTAATGTTTTGCTGATAAATATTTTGTATTTAAAATGCAGTGGTTGTAACTGAAAATTATTGAAATACATCATGTATATATATTTTTATTTGCAAATCCTTAGTTTCCTTTTATTATTCTTATACAGTTAGTTGCAAAATTATCATTTTGTGTTACACTTATTAGTCAAGGTTTTAATGATATTTCATGAATACTAATTGCATTTAACAGAAATAATTATTCATGGAATATCCAGTAGTTTTATACATTTTTGTGAATATTGAATGAAATAAAATAGTTAATGAGTTCAGGGTTTCCAAACCATTATTTATGACTATGGGACCAAATTGTTGTTTTCTCCCCTCGGAATTTGTTTAGTTCTTGATTTATTAATGTACTTCCTGTCTTTTTTCCTGTTTTTGAAAATAATGAAAGACTTTCTTAATAACTGGGTTATCATCTTGAGGAATAAAAATGTATACTTTGTAATTGAATGTATTTAATTTAACTGTTATGCTTTTTTTAATTATAAATTTCAAAAGAGTACTTGATTTTAAAAAAAAAAGTGCAAAAAAGAAATGTCAGAACTAAATTTTTTGTTCCTTCTATATGAAGCTTTAAGAGTGTATATATATTCAAAATAAAAGCAATTAAAATTAATAAGCCTCTTTTTTTCAATGCTTAAAATGTTTACTTTTGGTTTTGGTATTTTTGCAATTAAAGATTTTCATGTTTTCATGCAAGGAGGTATTGAAAATATTTAAAATACTAATTAAAATTCTCCAAGAAATTTTTTTTTGATACTAATTAAATTTCTTTTCTTTGTTTTAAATCGAATTTGTGTTCCTTGGAGATCATATATGGAAAGTTTTCTTATTATAAATTATTATATATATGTAATAGATTCTGTAGTAGATTGCAGGCAGTTGAATCTGTAATGTACAGCAAGAATGTCGATGTTGTAGAATGTTAAAACGTCGATCCACAATGAATAAGAAATTTTGCAGTCAAGTTAGGTTTAATTCAATTTTTATTTCAGTAAACATATGGCCACAATCAAGTTGGCACATTAATTATGCCTATTACAAAAAGTTAACATTTTAGTTAAATTTGCAGTACGATAGAAGGAGCAGATAGACAACAGTCCAGCTAGGTTAAGCGTTGAAAGCAAGTGCTTTATGTTCAGGGTGATGTTTTAATTCAGAATAGGCTGAGTTAGTTTTGGTTCTTAATTCATTTTGATCGGATAGTTAATATTGCTGTAAAATTACTATTGGCTGCTTGAGTTTTAGTTCCATTTACATCACCAGAATTATGTAAGAGTCATATGATGTGGATTAATCTAGAAATGCCACAGTCCAGAGATATTACTATTTTTAGAATAGAGAAGGAAAATTAATTTATGCTGCTAATTTAATCTTTACACATTCTTTATTTTTCTTACATATATATAATATTAAAATAAAAATATAGCTGAACAAATTCATATTGAATTTGGAATAATGATTTGGCGCAAAAATAGCCAAATGGGTAATGCAAACAACCATTGCAAAAATCAAACAAAAACAATATATAAGCTATTCTAAAGTCTCTAGACAAACCAGTGCAATGCCAAAATGAAATTCATATCAAAAATTACGTTTAATGCCTGAAAAATGTGAAAACATAAAGGTATATGTATTTTACATTTCCCACCACGTTTTCATTAGTGGTATGATGTATCAAGAGATGCAGAAGAAAAGCCATGTTTCTGAGCTGATAAATGTGCAAATAAAATTAACGTAAATTAAGTTATTATGCATATTTATTAATCCAACCCCTACACACTGCAGTCAAAAAGGCACTTTGCTTAAATATTATTAAAATAAACTGAATAAAAAATATATGAATAAATAAAAAGGAATTGAAATATATATATTACAGCTTTGTAATCAGAAAAATTAGTAACTATTCAAGTCACTCAGAAGCTGCAAAATTAAGTAAATAATCAAGAAACAAAAACTGAGTCTTTCATAGAGGTAAACTTACTAAAGGCAGCAGAAATAAATGCAACAATATTCATGCAATATTAAATGATAAATATTAGAGGAAAATCCCTTGTGTTTTTCAAAGAGAAATCGAAAGTATATTCGACAGAGCTACATTTCTGAATCATATCTGAATAAGAATTTAAAAAAATTAATCATTAATTCAATCAAAAATTAAGTAATTAAATAACATAAGTTAAATGAAATCAGTACAAAATTCAATTTAGAAATTAAAAATTTTATTATTTGAATTCATTTGTCAGGGTATAATTAGCAGATTATAAGCAAATATGTTTTATTGTTGTTATGAAGTGCAACATCTGTGAAGTATCTGCATATTCATACTCTTAGAACATTTGGTATTTTTGCAAAAGTTATATACAAAAGGTTCCTGCATTTAATTTTTTAAAAAAAGATGAAGAGCTTGATAATTTAAATCCTTTCTCACAGTGCAGTTTATAATCATTTGCAGTTATGTAGAATCTAATAATAAGCTTTGGATTTGTTGATGGGTAACCTTTATCATGCAACTGAATTAGTTGTTCATGTATTGATTCACGTTCATACCTTCAAAGCCATTTTTTATATGGGTATTCTTATACTTAAAAGTTATGCTTTCTTTATTAGGTCACTAAAGAGTGGTGTAACTTATTAGTTTTCTGAGGTGATCCTGAGGAAGTGTATAATTTTGGCTGCTTTTATATTCATCATCATGTCATATTATTTGAAAAGTTCAAATTTCAATTCCATACTTTTAGCAATTGGTTCACACACACCCTCAAGTTATTATTTTTATATGTATATATTTTTGTGTGTGTCTAATTACATTTATTTTTTATTACTTCAGTAACAGTATGTATTTAAGGATAATATCAGATTATTATATATTTGAAGCAAATAATATTAATAATTGAAATAATTATGATATTTATGTTTCTGTACACAATGTGTAAGAATAAAACTTCTGAAAATAGAATAGCAGTAAGAAAAAATGTTCATAGTTAGGTAATTTAAAATTCTGCAAAATGCATTTGCATGCTGTGATGTATTTATTTCTGTATTAATTTTAACTAAATGTAAGTATACATTTGACTGAAAATTTTGCATTCTTGAGCCATTAAAATATTTTAAAATTTTATTTAAATAATTCATAAACAAATTTGTAAGTGTCTTTATGTTTGGAAACCCTGAGATATGTGAATTCATAATTATTTTTAATTAGATAAAATACAACCTGTGATCCAAATTATTTATAATAATATTAGTACCATATTTTTCACAATAACAAGTCAGCAGTTCTTAAAACTCTTTCTTATCATAGTTTTTTAAGTATGAAATTTAATGATAGTAACTTAACTTTTGTTTAGGCATGTTTACAACTCTTTAATGTTACGCATAAGTTGTAATACATAGGAAATTTTGAGTTGATAGAATAGTCAGTATGGACACTTCAATTTTTTGTACAGTTATCGATTAGCTAATTGAACTAAATAGGAATTTGTTTGCTTAAAATTGTAATTAACTTTTGATTAAGATGACATTTATGCAGTATAATGCATTTTGCTTAATAATATAAAACTGTTCAGCAAATGAAAAAAAAATCAAAAAGAATCTTTCTAGTATGTAATAAAATAATTATTACTAAAAGAAAGTGATCTTAAATGATGTAAAATTTGTTTTTGGCATGTGGAATAACATTTCCTGTTTCATGTAATGTTCTGGCTTAAATGTAAATTGTATTGTATATATATATATATATATATGTAGTGAAAATGCTCCAAGAATCGAGTTGCTATAAGTTAGTCTTTTAAGTTGTAACTATAAACATCTGTTCAAGTGATAAATTTTACACTATTTTAAATTTATCCATTTGCAGTCAGGAATTTAAGGAATTACCATAATGAAATTATTTGCGTCTTCTGTTTTTGAATGAATTTTCCTGTTAATAATGTAACTTTTTTTTATGAAAAGTTGTTTAATTTTTGGAATATTTGTTTTCATTATATAATTTATTTATGAATAAAGTTTCTAAAATGGAAATGTAATATTTGATTCTAGATTTCCAAATACTTTACGCTAAAGTGGGTATTCTCAAACTTTTAAAATTTTGTATTACATAAATATGAATAAAAAATATATGTACCGATAGGAAGGCTATTTTACATTTATTTAGATCTTGCAGTATGCCATGGTTTGAAAAACTGTGCACTGAAGTATTTCAATTGTACTGAGTATTTAAAATAACTAATAGTAATAATAATTGCATTTTCGGGGGAAAAAAAAAGTTCAAGACTCGTTTATGTTATTCCAGCTACTGATATAAATTTGAGGTCTTACTTATTTTGCATATTTATAAACAATTTAATTTTATATTTATTAAAATAGCTTCCAAAATACATATGATTGAATTCTAATTGCGAAGTGTCTGCATCGTGTCCATCTTTTTCTGTGAAAATGTATATAAATATTTTTTTAGTTCCTTAGTTAATTAAGAATAATGATGCACTGTGAAGTATAAATTAGAAAAGCCTGTTTCATTGCACCTGATACCATTAAATATTGGAAAAAAAATTTAGAACAGATTTTGGAATGAGAATAATGTTCTATAGCATACGAATGACTTCAGGAACACAAAACTGGAAAATAGTAGAAATTTAATTTTTTTTTCCCTTTTTTTTTTTTGTAAGTGCTCTGACACTTTTCAGGTTAGAATGAAATGTAAAAATACTATGATGAGTATTTTGTTGCTAAAACTACAATCATAATTTTAATATTGCTGAAATTCTAACAGAATGTTTTGCTTTCAAGTATTAGATATTAATTTTCTCAGATTGTTAGTTTTCCATGTTCCCATTTAGATTGATGGTTTATAATCTTCATCTAGATATAGAATTCCGCACGTTTTATGTTGGTTTAGTTTGAAAGGTTAAAGCATATATGCATAAAAATAAATCATGAGATGCAAAAATGTAAAAATAAGATTTGATTCTATTTTATTGGCCTAAAAGTTACACGCTTGCTTGTGAGTACAGAATTAACCTGTATCAAATTATGGCGCATACTATTCACTGTTATGTTATTCTGAATGAAATTTGTACTTTACAATTAGTATCTGTTACACTGAAGATTCATCATTTTTAAAATGGTTAATATTATGCAATTTATAAACACATGTACTTCAGTGCAAACATATATCAATGTAAACTATTCACATGGGAACCAAATCTGATGATTCTAAATTCAGTCTCTGAAGGTTAAAAACATTGTAGATCGAATTATAATTATTATGTTTTAAGGCCTTTTTTGGGGAGGGGATGTAAAAACATTTTCCTATGCAAAGTGCATATGGTTTTCTGAATAGTTAATTTAAAATGAAAGTACAATTTAGGTTTTAAACTATGTATATATATGTGCTTTAAGTGATTATGTCATTTAATTTTGTAGCAAGTGTGTGCCTATTTATTGCTTTATTATTTCTTGCTAATTATTTTGATGATTTATTCATGTTTTATAGAGCCACTGGATTACGCAAATTTAAAATCTCTATTATGTTACAATTTGTATTTATTTTAATTAGTTCATTGTGTTTGTAATTTAATGTTTCAAATTCCATATAGTTAGAAATAATAATTT